CTGCGCTTGGCCCAGTAAAGGGCTCCCGGGTGGAAGGAGCGTGGTGTAACGAGCCTGCTGCGTGGAGCCTGACACTTGGGCTGCTGTCCAAGCGGTGGTTGTTTTTCCCACAAACTGGAAACCAGTTTAAAAATAAAGGCTTTAATCTTACTTCTTGTTTTTGGTTTTGGGGTTTTTTTTTTGTGACCTGCTACGGATGAGACTCGGACTCCTGGTAGTGACACGTTCGAGATCCCTGGAGCTGGAGGGCTCCTGCTGGCTGCACTGACAAGTTCCACGTCATTGCAGAGCTCCGAGTGAATAAATACTTGGACACTCTGTGTGTGTCCGTACAGGAAAAATAAATTAGAGCCGTTCCCGGGGGGGGGAGAAGGGAATCGAACAGTTAGCTGAGTGCTGCGTTGGGGTTTTGGGAGAAGGAGGGGAGTAAAATTTGAGGCTCAGTCCTGGTTTTGCACCACTGAGCATGTGCTGGTCATCCTGCCTTCCCAGTCAGGTGTCAGGGACCTCCCTAATAGCTAATGAGCCAAGGCAGTTAATAGTAAACACCATTGATTACAGCTTTATTTACTTGTTTATTGGAAGTAATGAGGTAGGAAGGTGGCTGGGCCAGCACGTGCTGGTTGTGCAAATGCAGGAAGGAGCAAAAGTCTGAAGTAAAAGTTCTGCATTTGCTCCACTGCACATGTGCTGGTCCAGTCAGGCCCCTGCCACCTCCCTAATTAATTAGCTGCAGTAAATGATCAGAGCATCACAGAATGGGTTGGGTTGGGAGGGCCCTTAAAGCCCCCCCAGTCCCCCCCCCTGCCATGGGCAGGGACACCTTCCATAGCCCAGGTTGCTCCAAGCCTCATCCAGCCTGGCCTTGATGCTTAATTGAGTAGTGATGTCTGCTATTAAAGGCCTTGGCTAATTAGCATGGGCCCTAAATCCTCTCTGACTGCCCCCGTTACCAGATTCCCTGCTTTCCCCCCGCACAAAGTGTGACAGCGCCGGCGCTCAGCAGGCCCCGGCCTGGGCCAGGCGCTCCCGGAGGCAGTTGGCGAAGTCGACCTGCGTCTGGGACAGGACCTGGTTGATGATGGTTTTCGGCAGCCAGCCCTGGGGAGGAGCAGACACGGCCCGTG